TTTTTCTCTCCTTCGAGTGCTGACCTAGATACATTAATTTTTCACTCTCACTTGTAGTTTTCACATTGCAGGTTCCGAAAACTTTTTGTGGCATTTTCGAGTTATACCTTCGTCAACACAATTAAGAAAATTTAGTACGCTGCTTTTCAGGTACCAGGCATTTACAAAATCACATTTACTTGTTATGTTGGAACTTGGAAGCCTTGTAAAATATATAGTTACAAAGTAAAAATAAATAAATAAATAAAATGAATGTGTTGACAGGGATTGACATTTCAGTATAGGACTGAGTGCCGTGTTCTTTTGTCGCAACTCGACTGTTGGTGCTGCCTTGCTGCTTGGGTTCTTTGAAACAGGCTGAGCTTGTTTGTTTACGCAGTTCAAATGTGATGGGGTGATGAATTTTTAATTAAAACATATATTTTTCATACGTATTTACGGGAGTGTTTGTGCACGTATTGTAATTTTTAGTTCCATTTTTTCATTATCCACAACTTGATTTTTAAAATTGAAGAGTCTGACTTCTGGTTCTGGATCAATGTATGAGCAGCAGCCAGTAGAAAATAAATTCCACGACTCTATGAGGTAGTAGAATATGGTTGAGTTCTGCTGTTGCTGGCCATTGCATAGTTATTTCAATTGAGTACTCCTCTGGAATAGATTAAAGCTTGAACACCAAGTACCAAAAGCTAAACAAAAACTGTTGATTTACCATTAAATTACACGATCACACGTCAATGAAATTATTTAATTTTTAGAATATAACTATTTTTTACTAAAAATTAAATGCCAAACTCTAATAATTATAAACCCTACAAGGCTATTCTGCGTGAACGAACAACTAAAATCTCACAATATTCATCTTTCACTCATTCATAAGCTTGTAAACTACAAAAGAAACATTCTTTGCAAAAATGTTACACCATCAAATTTTGTACATCCTCATACATATTTCAACGAATATTTCTGAAAACTCACAAAATTCCTTCCAGAAATACACATTTTCTCTAGTCCCCTCAATTTGGACTAGTTACATAATCTTAATCATTTATATTGTTTTTTTCCTAATCATAATCCACATCAGTACTATCCTGAGACGTCGCCCGCCTGATCAGACGCCCTCCCTCATCATACACATCAAGATTCTCACACGGTGCCGGAAAAATCCTCCCCACCACACGCCCCTGCACGTGAGAACACTGGAATATCCGCTTCTTCTTGTAAGTTATCCCGACTAACATGTTCCGGAAGGTGACGTTCGTCACGGGAATCTCCCGACTGCCATATATGCGGACTGGGATCCGAACCCCCTGTCCACGAACCCCTTCAAAATTTATGTTCTCGATAATAGGAAGGGCGTTTTGGTCATATCCCTCATCCGGGTGCTCATTGTAGTCAGTCTTTATAACTATGCCCACGCGCACGTTTTGTAGTGTCAGGTTACGGTAGGTTATGTTTACGACTTTTCCGCCCCTGCCAGGGCTCGTTTTGATTCTGACGCCCCTTTTGGAATTCCAGACAAGCAGATTCTCGACTGTGACGTTCGAGACGCCACCCGACATTTCACTGCCGATTGATACGCCTGCGCTGTGATTAAAATGGAAATTAACATTTAAGAAGCGTGTTTAATTTTGGAAAGAAATTGTTAATTAATCAAAAATTAAAAATCGACACCTTATCATAGAACGCACAATGACGTTGCGTATTAGAATGTTGGTGGACGGGCGTGCATAAGCGATTCCATACTGATCCCACCCACTTTTGATTGCAATACCATCGTCCCCAACACTTATGTAACAATCTTCGATCAACATATTCTCGCATGAATCTGTAAAAACTCCAAACAAGGCAATGTTAGTCCATCGACCCACCCTCGTTATTACAAGGGAGTTTGTTTGAGTGTGACCACATGAGCAAGATTTTATCCTAAGGAAAGAAATTAATTCTCTTTTACCAAACGTGATGCAGATAGATAAACATATTTTAAAAAAAGAAAAGGCAATGGTTTAAATTTTAATAGGTAAAGTCTGAGATGTGAATGATTCAAACTTTACCAGGATCGATTCCATCGGTATTTGGGGCACCAGACAGAGGAGCCAATATGGTGACATTTCTGATAGTGACATTCTGGCAGTCGTAAGGATGAAGGGTCCAGAAAGGGGAATCGCGAAATGATATATGAGATATATGAATGTCTCTAGACCACATGAGCTGCAAGAGCGGGCCCCGTGTGTGGTTCAGACGATTATTCTGATGCTTGGTCCACCATGCCTGACCTTGTCCGTTGATTGTGCCGTTATGTCCTGTTCAATGGTTAGACAACCATGAGTAACACCGTCAAGCATTAGCGCTTGCCTCATAATAAATTATTTGAAGTATTACAAGAAAAAAAAGAAAGAAAAAAAAACGATAATCTTTTACCGGTAATGACAACATCTCTGAGGTTTTGGCCATGGATCAAGCTTCCATAACGTGGGCCCGGCCGTTCTCTTCCATAACCATAGGATGGTAAAGGAGGCATCAATGGCCAATAGCTCTCGTCCTGCCTCATCCAATAAGAAAATGGTTGTTACAAGTTAAAAGTTAAAACCAACTGTCTCTTCTCGTTGTTTTTCTCCAACTTCACTTTTAGTTCAATTTCAAAAGCCACGGAGCACCTAACCAGTATAGGCTTAGGCAAGATTCTTGAGATTATGAAGCTTAATAAAAAGCATAACGAGTTTTGAACCTAATGAAGAAAGTGAGTTTTGTCATTTAATTATCTTGGGATGCATCCCATTCTCCATGTTGAAACTTTTAGATTCCTACACGGGTGACAATTTGTACAGTGAACTGAAAATGAAAGCCAAAATGGTAGGATTGCTAACCAGACCGTTGATGAATTAAATACAAGACAAGAAAAAACAAAAACTGTGTGGAATAAAGTTGATTTCGTTAAAGATTCAGTCAGCAAGTTTGCGAAACGTCGTTAATGAGTACTTGAGTAATTCACTGATTTTGAACATCACCAACTATTTTGCATGTGTACAACTTCAATAATGCAGCATAAACCAAGTATTTCAAGTACGATCTCAACATAGCTTAGTTCGTAAAGAGGAAATAACAACTAGCCGTCTCTTGAAAACAATTTCCAAAATCTCTCAACCCATGGAAAATGAGTAAAAGACATCAACCTACCTACAGGAACAATATGATATGAAACCAAATTGAGCCACCGAATCCAAGCAAATTAAGCATAAAATTAACTGTTTCTCTAATATTACTAAAATTGACTCTTAATCATCAAGCACACACAAGTAATTAAAATAAAAATACATGTTGCTTCACCGTGGGTTCAGAAAATACAAAGAACGAAGAATATGGAGGATGACGAGGAAGGCACAATCCCAATTCTCATGTTAGCAACAAATACTGGAAGCATCTAGCACACCTCTGCTTTACCAATCGCCATAAATACCAACATGTTATTGCTAAAGCTTCAGTAATACACCGGAGACAACAATGAAATTAAGTGCAACATCTTGAAATCATTTGAAGTGTGTGTAGAAGTATGTGACTGAAGTTGGAAACATTAGCACTGTTCGCGTAGAATTTCTTTTTCAATTTAAACTAACGGAAAAATTGTTCCAAGAACATTATTATGTCGTAAAACTTGAAGTGAATAACGAGCATCTCGATTCAACTTTCTTCTAGTTTCATACACCAGTATATATAGGAATTGGGGTACAACCCCCATTAACCTGACATTAGATAAGATTTGGAGGATGGGAAAGCCAGTTGTCTCAACCAAAAGGCAGCACAGACGGTCCATTCAAGAAAATTGCATTCTGGATAAATTTTCAAGTACATTGAGTGTTCTGATATAATGCGCCAAAAACTAGTTTCACAGCGATTTTTATTACTTCCAGTGTAGGGCAATAAGAATAAGTTGGGTTCATAAACTTTAACTACAAATTCTAACTGTTGTTAAATTCTTGACACTCTTGGCATGTTAGGAACCTGGAAAGAAATACACACATTCCCCAAAAGTCCCATCTGATCCAGAAATGTCAAATGTGTTGTCCAAATTGTCAAACTTTTCTCCACAGTAAGAAGTAGATACCAAGTTAAAAAGTAAGCCACACTAAATAATTTCAACCTAATAACGTTTGCATTTCAACATCAGATTCAGCGTAAAACTAGAAAAACATAANAGAAGTAAAAAAAAAAAAAAAAAAAAAAAAAAAAAGATAGAGAGAGAGAGAGAGCACTCACATCAATTCCAAGAATAACAGCGTTTTGGGCGAGAAACAAAGTCATATGGCTGGTGAGGTTAAACGGCGCCGTCAGCCAGCGGCCGGGCTCCACATTCAGCTGCCCGCCGCCCCGCCGTCGAATTTCCGAAACCGCCCTCTCGAAAGCTCGCGTATTAACAGTGACGCCGTCCCCCACCGCCCCGAAGTCGGTGAGGTTAAAGACGACGGATCGGAGCCTGGGGATGGGCAGGGCACGCGGGCCCCACAACCTGTCGACGGCCACCCTCTGCCAGGAGACGATCACAACGAATCCGACGGCCCATATGAGCGCAAGGAGACTGCGGTGAGACGATAAGAGTAGGTGGATCGATTCGATCAGACGCCTGGTAGGCTCGGGTCTGAAACTACTGCTCCGTGGTATGATTCGAGAGGGATCCCCCATTGCAGATAGCCAGAGAGAGATGTAAATGACTGACGGTGTGAAGAATTAAAAGTGAAATTCTTGGTAGGAAACGAGGAGATCAAATGGGAAATTTCAGTTCTAAACTCTCATTTCCATTTTCCAACATGTTTTTCCCCCTTGCTTAATCCTTGGGGTAAGAGGGCTGTTGTGACTTACTAATAGCAGCCCCAACAGTTAAATCTCATCCCTTCATTTGCCATAAATTAAAACAAAATTCAATGGTTAAAAATAAATAAAGAATAATATAAAACAAAACCCCAACAGTANACAAAACAAGAATGTACACACGGCACAACACTCTTTCAATTCGGGCCTGAAACTTTCAAATTTTGCTGCAATTTTTAATCTTTTTCTTTTTGTTCATCTTAAAGTATTAGGGAGCCTGTAATCAACATTTTCCAGCTTCTTTATTAGCTCCTACAAGCATATTCCCCTCTATCTCTCTACAATGAACTGAAATAAGGATTAACCTAATATTCTTGTTACTAATAAATAAGGTAGTGTCTCACTTTTTCTCACTTTAACTCTATTCTTGTTACTTCAGTAATTAAGAATAATTTGTCAGCTTTGCTGAGCTAGACGCATAAATATAATATGCTCATGGGAAGTGTTTTTCATTTTCTGGTCCAACGGTTTCTAGTTGAAGCTCCAGGCAAACTTAAATACAACACATCAGATTATGTCAAATACAAACATTAAGTCAATCAACATACAACACATCAGATTATTTTGCACAGCAACATAAACATATATCCAACAACCATTGAAAACAAAAAAACAAAAAAAAAAGTTATTAACTTAAATAATGACGGTTGTTCTCTCAAGAATAATGCATTACAATTCTAAAAATTAATTTATAATTGTCTTGCATTGCTCTTGAAGTAGTCCCGACCTCAGTCGCTTGGAATGCCTGAAATTGATAAATACATGAAAAATCAATAATAAAATTTTTTTATCGAATAATTATAAATATTTATTTACAAAGACGTACCATTATGAATTTGAGATACCGCCTAGTTGGATGAAGCGACACCATCTTTCACAAATTCTTATAGATGGTGCATCTCAACTCTAGAATTCATGTTTTCTTGTGAATCGGTAATCGGCCGACAAGGCTTCATGACAAAAGTAAAAATAAAAAATAAAAAATATATGTATATATATAAAATGTTGAATTAGTGCTATTTATCAAATGCAAACAAAAATAACGATTACCTCTTTTGATGAATTTGATTTTTTAGAGTTCCTAGAAACTTTTCGACCCAACCCTTTAACCTCTTTGTTCTTCTTCTCCCGTCCCTTTTCTTTAAACCTTTCATATTCTCAATTTTGTCATCTATGTTGAACGAAAGAACTTCTTCATTGGCTCTTTCATTTTTCATCACAAAAGCAAATATTTGCTCATTACATTCACTCACCATTTTCTCCGTGCAATTGCGTGTCACTTCACGGGTGGAAGCTTGAAGTGTCATCCGTAAGAGTTGAGATTGAAGCCTTTGAACCCATTCCCTAGCATTCTCCACACCATTAGAATTTTGTATATTCAAGTTTTGGGCACTTTTTCCTCCTTTTGTCTACCTAGCCAATATGTACTTTTGTGGAACGCACATCACGTCTTCAACAATAAATACTTTCAGGATACGACAACACAATATTCCCATAATTTCAAACTCTCTACAACTGCAAACAATCCAATCCTGTGTAGGATCAAAGAGTACCTTCATCTCTCTCTCTTGAACCATGAAGACAAACTACGTACTCATGCGGACTTCGGGAGTTATCTTTTCTTTCTATTACAACTCTTAAAGCAACACGAAGTTCGATATGGAAAAGAGTAAATATTTCAGGAGTGTACAATTGTGAAACTTGCATCAACAACAAAGAATCATAAGATTCCAATGGAGGCAATTTTTGTCTCGCATCAAAATCGGCTTTAAGCTCCCGTTCTCTTTTTTCATCAACAACCCTATCAAACTGTTTGAATAAACCAGAAATATTCAAATCACATTTCAAGTAGGACTTCAAGTCACCATTCAAGCTCTCACTCAATTGTGTGCTTCTTATTTCCAAGGTAAATGCATACTTCATATAACATTTGGCCCATTTCTCCTTCAAGTCGTACGTACGGGATAACCATTCATTATTGTGCAAATCGTAACGATCAAGTAATTTTTTCCATTCCCTTTCAAAATCATCCTCTTCTAGATATTCAATCATGCACCTCTTGAACTCCGTTAAAAAGGAAAAAAATTATCTTTCATATGCCAATCCAAATGTTTGATCCCATTTTGATTCAAATGCCACGTGCACAACCCATGTCGTGTATTTTTCAATACTTTTGCTAAAGCATTCGCCATAGCCGCATCATGATCCGTAAAAATGGTTTGAGGCTCTTTACCTCCATGAGCATTTAAAAAAGTTTCAAGAAGCCAAGCAAACGAATCAGCGGTCTCATCATACAAAAGTGCACTCCCAAAAATGACCATCTGTCTATGATGATTAAATCCTGAAATACACCCAAGGGCCTCAATTCTTTGTTTGTTCCATAAGTCGTGCCAAATGTAATTACATCACCAAAATCACCATAATCAACAATCATCCTTGAATCAGCCCAAAATATATTAGTGACTTGTTCGTCACTGTCAAATTGCATTGAATAAAAAAATGAAGGGTCTTTACCTTTTCTCTGCTCAAAGTATCTTATTATACCTCCCAACTCCCCGTACACCATGTGTTTTTCTCTTTTCGATCGCAAATAAGTCTTTTGATCTTCCATTGTGTATCTGAGCTTATCCCAACCCCCTGCTTCTCTAATCCTCAAGTGAAGTGTTGCTTTTAGGGTGAGTCCTGCATCATGTGCCAAATCAATTGCGGCAGTGGCAGCTTGACTCATTTGCCTATGGGATCTTAACATGTGACTCGTCTCTGGAGGCACAAGTTCATGATTATGTTCTCCAACAAATTCTTTGATCTTGTATTTACCACTTGACCTCTCCAAAACTACATTTAATTTAACCTTGCATGACGTTCTTTCTTCCCATCGATGCACAACTCCTACCATTCGTTTGTCTTCACCTCTTTTACCCTCTTTACCGCAAACGAAAACTGCATTATTATATACTCCATCCTTTTGGCTTTTGTTGCGATAATGTATTCTAATCCCAAATCCCATTGACTTCCTATAATTCTACCACAAATCTCATGCTTCATCAAGAGTATCAAATATCATTCCAATTCTTGGTTCGTCGTTTCGACCGCTATTTAAAAGGTTACCGTATGTCACATCTTCAACCATCTCCTCATCAACGCTGGAATTTTTTTCAAAAAAGCTCAAATCACTCCTAAACTTAATCAAAGAATTATATTTAGATAAGGAAAAATATTCATTTAGCAAATAAATAAGTAATAACTCAATTTTCTACCCTAAACTTAATCAAAGAAATATATTTGAACTCTTCAATCATATAACAGACTTTCTCGTGTCACACTCATTCACACCCCATAATTCTTGCAAACAATTCAAGAATATTATTAATCCCCTCAAACATTTCAAACTCAATTTTCCAAATTTTTTGTCCCCTTTTTGTTTTTTTAATTCTCGAATCAAATGCCACGAGCCACGAAAAATGAATACAAAAATTCCAGAAAAAACCGAAAACAGAGCAAAGCAGCTACTTTCAAACCTGTTAATCTATGTATTAAAAAACACACCTTTAATAAATTAACCACGAAATGAGGGCCTCGAATAGTGCTTATAAGAAGAACAAATTCAACAGCGAGAAATATATGTATATATATATATATATGAAAAAAAAAACTTACTCAATAGACATTTTCTTTCTAGGTTCCATCTTTTTGCCAATATCTTGAAAAAGTTCATTTGTTGTGATCGGGTCCAACCATATTGATGTTGTTTCAAGATTTTTTTGTGATGAATCTTCTCCTGTAGGTGTCTCTTCCATCTTTTTCCCGCTGCTCTCTGATGTGTTTCCCGCCCCAAATTATTAATTAGGTTAGACTTGTTAAGTTTTATTAGTTTATTCTTTATTTATTTTTAGCCATTGGATTTTGTTTTAATTTATGGAAAATGAAGGGATGAGATTTAACTGTTGGGGCTGCTGTTAGTAAGTCACAGCAGCCCCCCTTACCCGTCCATATGCCATTCACCAATTCCCACGGTCTTGCATCCCCGGTTACCTGGGAATATATAATTATAATAATTATAATTGTTGGGAACAAATTTTTATTGTTAATTTGTTGACATTCCTATTGAAAAATAAGATAATTTGGAGTTTAATAATATAAGCGCGGATGTAATGAAGGAAATTATGGCTAAGTAGTAAGTACAGAAGACGGGACCACAGGTCGGATCCCCATCGACAATCTGACCTCAAGGCAGCGCCGAGGTCGAAGCTCAAAAGTGCACTAAAGAAATAAATATTATAATAATCTCACTTGCAGCTTAATGATGATCGATTGGACGCGCACGTCGGCTCTGCAAACTTGTGTCCTCTAGGTCCCTAGGGTAGTGTCGGCATTAAATATCTGTCATTAGATATTAAATTGATGGATGAACAGTAATAGGACAGTTTTACTATATATAGTCATAGAAATTCATTTTGGAAGGGGATCAAAAAATTTTGCATGAAAAACATTGATTCTCTCATTAAATACAGCATTTAAGGTGGGGATCCGACCTCAATAGTTGTTTTGTATGTTTTTGTGGTTATTTTATGTGTTTTTAAGTATTTTATTTGTGTTGTTTTATTTTATTTTAGGTTTTTCATGGTCTATTTGTGTATTTTGTGTCATTTTAGTATCTTGTGCCTTTTTATTTCTCTTTTTATCGTTTATTTTGTAGGAAATTTGCGTCTCGGAGAGTTGCCGGAAATTCGCCGAAAAATCACCAGAAAAGTCCCCGGAGAGTTCCCGGCCAATCAGCTCGACTAGTACCCAGTGGACCCGTGAGCCCTGCAGCACCCGCGCGCCTAGCGACCTAGGTCGCCTGCCTGTCCGCGCATGAGCCACGTGCACGCCGTCTGCCCGAGACCCGCACGCCCACGAACAGGGACTCGCCCAGCTCGCGAATTTTCCTCCTGCCCCGTGAGTTCCCCAGCACCCAAGCACCAACACTCGCGACCTGAGCGAACTTGCCCGCGAAATCCACCTAGCTCGCGAGTGTTTCATTAAATGTGTATATTCTTTATATGAGTTTAGGTGTGGGTATAAATACATTTTTTCCTACGTATTTGAGAACCAAACTTTCATTTTCTTAGTTCTCCCTTTGGGGAATAGGTCTTTTTCTTATTTTTCTCTTTATCTTTGTGTTGGGGACTCAATGACTCGTATTTTCCGACGACTTTATGTTTATGCAAGAATCAAGCTTTTTACTTCGGTTTTTTTCGAGCATGCAATAAGAGAGTGAGTACTTAGTTTTAAGATTCATTACTCCGTATTTGTTCCGCTTTTTACTTATGAAGTTTTTCACGGTGAATGTAGTGTTTGCTAGTTGAAGGAGACAAAGTTTGGGTCTTTTTACTTTCATTGTTTGCTTAAGTGTGTTAGATAATTTTGTGCTTATCTTGTTATAAAAGTTACGACTTTGTTTAAAGCGTGGTCATTTAGTTAACAAGGCTCCATTTGATTATCTAGGATCGCTTTGCTAGCATGTTTCTCTTTGTTTATTTTCGTTTTTCTTGAGTTAGGGAGACTCCGTGCAACCAAAGTTTAAATCTTTTCTTCAAAGCTTGCATCTTTGAGTTAATAGTTTTCAATTGCATTAGGTAATTGGTCTTAATTCAATTTCAATCAATCGATTCACATGTGTTAGGACCTTGTTTTTTGGTTTTTGCGTTTTGACTTTTGACGACTAGATAATAAACAAAACTCCGAACAACTTTTCTCCAGAGACACGACCCGAGGTCGAGATTTATTCCGTACTCGGCTAAAAAACTACAAACAAAATGGCGTCATTATCGAGAAGGCGAGTAGGATGCCAAATTTACGTTATAGTTGTCGTTTATTTAAGTGTTGCACTTCTTCTATATATGTTATTATTTAGTTTAATCTATATCAATTCTATATGTTATCAACAATATAATTATAAATTGAACTAATTTTGAGTAAACTAGTAAAATCTTCGGTTAAATCGGTTAAATTGAACCATATGCTTTAGCTGACATAATATATATCTAAATAAAATATTGCAATGAATTTCCTAAAAACCTATTGCTGAGACTTGCTGTAGTCACAAATTGAAATACCAAAAGAAATTAGGTGAAGTGATTATTCCAATTCAACACATCCCCTTTGGGAGGCGTATTCGACAATTTCAAGGTATGCATACAGTGAAATTCGGCTTATTCGATCGTTTGTTATTCCTTGTGATTACTTTATTCTGAATCAAGGTTCCCCTTTCCTTTTGATCGCCCCCAATTCAATTGACTCAAACCCCATTAACCAGTTCAGCTCGACCTTCTTGGTCCCTAATTTCATCGAACGATCGGTCTTGGTTCTCGATCGCCGAGATCTCTGTAGAAGGACAATATGTGGGCAGCTTCATGCCTGGCTTCCTGCTGCGCGGCCTGCGCCTGCGATGCTTGCCGGACGGTGGTGTCGGGAATTAGCCGGCGTTCGGCCCGTATCGCGTACTGTGGCCTGTTTGCGCTTTCGCTCATCGTCTCCTGGATCCTTCGTGAGGTTGCCGCACCCCTCATGGAGAAGATTCCCTGTAAGTACTTGTGTTTGCTATAATATCGTGGTTTATCAAGAGTATGGCAAAAAAGGGGGAAATTTTTATCTGTCTTTTGTAGTTTTATTACGGTCTTCTGCTTATCAGTGAGGTTTGTTAGATTCTATGCAAATTATGCCGATTGAGAACTCGATAAATTAGATAGTACTTAAATTGCTTTGGCTTTCAAAGGGAATTCTTTTGTGGTGAAATGATGAATAAAAATTGGATCTTGAATATGAAGATAGTGATTAGCGTCAACTGTCACCCTTGTAATTGCTTTGTGTGTGTTCAGAATAGTCTGTGATTATCACACTTGAGTGGCTCTTTATTATTTGAAAGACATAAAGTGAATGATAATTCTTTTCTTAATTTAATATTAATTTTCTTCGAAGTGTGGTAAAGAGAAAGAATTTTCTGTGTATAATAAGACTTGGGATAAATGCTCCGCCTGACAACCTGAATTAACAATCTTGAAGGGATCAATCATTTTCACCAAACTCCAGATAGGGAGTGGTTTGAAACGGATGCAGTTTTACGAGTGAGCTTGGGGAATTTCCTCTTCTTCACACTACTTGCCATCTTCATGATTGGAGTAAAGAACCAGAAGGATCCTCGTGATGGTGTGCATCATGGAGGTTGGATGATGAAAGTTATTTGCTGGTGCATTTTGGTGATACTGATGTTCTTTGTTCCAAATGGCATCATCAGCTTTTATGGTGAGATATATGTTTCTGCAGTTTTGTACTAATTATTGCTTTATTTTATTAACATTTTTCCTTTGAAAGCTATACATTAGCAGACAATAAGAGAAAAGATCACCAGTTGTGTTTGCTAGGAATAAATACCGAAAGTTCAGCATTGCCATCTGGTTAACAAAGAGTTAGTTACTGACCGATCTGCTACTCGATTAATCTGTTTAATTAAAATTGAGCTAAGACCAGATGTATGCCTTTTCACGTGAAAATCTTGAAGAATATGAAATTGCTGGTTGCTCGAAAGATCCGATTGCATGCATCTCCATCTTGGCTTGCTTAGGGTGCATTAGACTGTATCTTGGATGCATGGTCATTTTCCCTTTCCGAGTTCCTCAACTTCTATTCTGGGGTTACTTCCTAGAACGGAGCAGCAGTTTTGGAGATGACTTTTGTTTACGACTTCGTACTTCGTAGTGTATTACTCGCCCAGGATTCATGNAAAAAAAAAAAAAAAAAAAAACCGAGTTACTAGGCACATGAGGTATGTTTGATATGATGCACTGTTTATAAAGGACTTGTTTGTGATATAGTCATGAGATCTGAATGTGTAAAGCCTCAGTAATGAATGTGCGAGTGATATATCAAATTACGCCGGTGCAACCTTTTTTCTTGTGTTTAATGACTTTAATCTTTATCATCATAAAGCGAGAGTTATGAGTACAAATTACGGTATTATCAAATCAAAACTAAAACTTCGTTTGAAATGCTGGTTTTCGCTGTCTTTTCTTTTCCTTTTGTCTGACATATTAGTAATCTTTAAATTTTCAGTTTACTGTATGACATCTCGAAATATTGTCTTTTTCTTTCCTTGGTGTCAGAATTTACCCTAGTCCCTATACTACTTCTGTTTTTAATGCTCTTTCATCCAATGTTGAGGTTATATTTTGCTTCTATAATCTATATGCAGAGACAACATCCAAGTTCGGCTCAGGGTTGTTCCTTCTCGTTCAAGTTGTGCTTCTGTTGGATTTTGTTCATGGATGGAATGACAAATGGGTTGGATATGACGAGCAGTTTTGGTAGATGTCAACTTTTTTTTTTTT